CATCCTTGACTCGAAACATGTGAATTTTTTGAAAAGAAAGCTTACCCAGAAGAATGTCTCGGTAATTCTTAATGAGGCAATCCTTAAATTTCTTTGGCATCTCCAGTGGTTGTAGTCTGCTCATATTACGCTCTGGCATCTCATTTATTGAAGGCGAACTCCTGGAAAGAGTGCTTATTAAAGAGTCATCGGCACTGTTTCTGGCGGAGAGGCCTTTTCACTGCGCCTTCTTATCTCTCCCTCTGATCAAGGCTCCTGCCTAGAGCACAGACTGGGCAAGTTGTAGAGAGACTGTGTGCTCTGCGAGTGTAGTCCGTGGCATCTCGGACCTGCTACGCTCTAAGTCTAAAACTTGGTCGGAGAAGGGACACAGAGATGCGGTGGCGCGGCGCCAGCTCGTTTTCCTTTGACCGTTGCGGCTTCTGAGGGTTCTACGAGTGAAGGAAAAATAATTGGCGCTGCGCCAGAACTCACGCGATACTGAACGCCGCAACTAACTTCAGTAATAGCTGCTGTCATCAAGGATTTTGATTGATGAAAAGGTTTTTGTGGTCGAGAAGGGTTCCATTGGATCATATCATTTGGTAAGATTATGCGTCTCTCTTCTTTTTTTGCTGTTTTCTTTTCATAAAAGGTTTTTACCTGATAACAAGGCTGTTGCTTTTCATTCGACCAAATGGCGTATTATTGTTGGGCTGTTCGCTACGTTTGGTTGTGATACTCATTGCCTCGAGTTATGTCCTAAAATATGATTAGTTAAAACGGCACTGCACTTTATAAGCTAGAGACCATCGTTTTGGGCAACAACAGTACTTTCAGGAAGCAGAACAAATATACAGTAAGGAACATCGAAACAGCAGAGAAAAAAGAGATTGTTCAGTAGCTGTCCCAGTATAGGTAGTGCCACTTGCAACTACACCACGGCTCCTTAACTCTGAACTTATGTTCATGTCAGTTTTCATTTCGGAGCGATAACTGTGTTTGTCAGTGGTACCAGAACAGCCACGTTGCAGCGACGGACGGTGGTGTCGTAAGTGGAGAATCTGCGCGCCATTCGCACCAGGACCAAATTGATTCAACATGGAATTGTAACAGTATGGAGGGTGTATCACCTAACTAGTTTGTGAGGGCTGCCACCACATGGGTATCCCATCCACGCCGGTCCATCTTACACATGATAAGAATGTTCCCTTTGAGCTGTAACAAATACCACCAGGGCACGGCCTAATATCGACCCTAGATAATTAAGGGGTGCCGGAAGTCAAACTAGGAAGTAGCAGTAAATAATAAGTACAATATGGTTACTGTAATAAGCAGAAAGTAACAAGCAACTGAATATTTTATCACTAATCAAATCACAATTAAATTTATTCAGTGTCTGACGGGGCAATTACTTAGAAATCAAAGTGAATAGACTACACGTCATAAAGCTATTTGCGCACCTGGTGAAAAGGTGCGTGAACCGAAACTAATGACCATGAGTTAAATCAATGACCTCGGTCAAGCCATTAACTTTTTTCGCTTGAACAACCCTTATTAAAGCCCAGAATACCGGTTAATTTGATAGTTTGGTAACGCACGAATTCGTGAGCAACTGTACTACGACGTGAGCTATGGACTGTGCGGAAAGAAGGATGGACAGACAGACAGGCAGACAGACAGACAGACAGACAGACAGACAGACAGACAGACAGACAGACAGACAGACAGACAGACAGACAGACAGACAGACAGACAGACAGACAGACAGACAGACAGACAGACAGACAGACAGACAGACAGACAGACAGACAGACAGACAGACAGATATGGAGGCAGCAAGACAGACGCTCACAGACATCAATACCAATTGGAAAAATCTAGGTTCAGGCTTCGCAAACTCGTCCAAAATATTCCAAAACATCAAATATTGCACGACTTGGTACCAAACGAAATGACCTGCTCACCTTGCTCTTTTTGATTGAAGCCATGTGCTTAGGGCTTCTCAGCGGAATTGTGTAACTCATTTAGACTGGAGAGGTTTAAATGAAAAGATAGAGCATAGGGAAGAATGTTACAGCGTGAATGGAACAAATTTCAATAACATTCACAGAATTGTAGTAATACAGAACGATTGCCTGGGATTGTACATGTACATTCTGTGAATATCACCAGTTCCCAAAACAAAAAAAAACGCAGTGGGCTTCGAAACGCGACGTAAGCAAGCATTTAAAGGAGGGATGGAAGAACATTACAGGAACGAAGGCCGCGCACAACTTCCTCGGTGGGAGAAAGTCGCCATGTCAAGAAGACTAGAAGTCAGTCTGCACTTGCGGACGGATTCTGGTCAACTCGAACTTCCTAAAATCCTGGAAACCGCTCCAAGTACACAACTTTTAACCAAAGCAGAGCTCATCGTAGTCCGAGCCATTAGGGAGATCTCCCGTCGTCAGCGTCGTGAGCAAGGCCCTTTGAGTTTAAATGGGTTTATTTAACATCACATAAGCCCAGAAAGTCGTTCTAGGATAGGTAGGCGTGAGGGTAGAGGCTCAATTCGCTAGTAGGTGTACGGTAATGTTCACTTTGCCAGCCGTCCCTTATTTTTCCATGGGCCTTGACTGTTATATGCGAAAACAGGTGATTTTCCGTTATTGCGGCTCTCACGTTCAGTTGCAGCTGAATCCTAGAGTGACGCAAAAGAAGGCAACTGGAGCTATTACTTGCAGCAACAGACCGATGGAGATGTAAAGAGAGCCACGGAACTGAGAGAAGGCCAAAATTCGCTTGTGAAAGGCTGGATGTATCGAAACTCGCTAGCTGTCTCTTATACTGCGTATAATACAACAACAACGTTCGATTGTAGCTGAACATTCCCATTATAACTACAGCTGAATGAAAGGGTAGTTCTCGGAAACGCTCTTTATTCTTGGTTTTGTAGCTTTCATGTTAACAACGAAACATATGTAATTGTACTTTTAGTTACTGGCGTCAACCCTGACGCAAGTGAAGGTGTCAAGTATTACTCGAAAGGGAAAAGAATATTCAGTGAAATTGAATGCTGTATTAGCAGCTTGGAGTTCAATAGTTTTCCAACATGTGATGCAGGCTGAACGTCAAGTACTGGTGCCTTTATACAGAATTACACTCGAGTTAATCATTCAAATGAGTAACGGAAAGAGAAATGAATAAAAGAACGACTCAAGCGTGCCCTGGGAGAGGCTAAGGGGAGAGAAACAGACAGACTCGGAGTTGCCAGCTGGAAAGTGGTCTGCTGAGGAAATACGGGGTAGATACAAGCACACACGGAGTAAATACAGGCGCTATGAACACGTCATAGAACAAAGTCATTATCTGAAAGCTATAGGGAGTGCGAAGACGTGTGGGTTAGAATGCAGCCAGGGCGACTGCTTCCAACA